GTTGATCTTTTCTGAGTGAATGTTCTCTTTTTGATAGGATACTGATAATCCAAAACCCAAGAAAAAGAAGAAAATTATCAAGAAAGGGAAAAAGAAAAGTAAGTATTTGTTTTGTATGTTATGTGAGTGCTTCTTACTGTATATTATGGCTGAGCGATTTTCCCGATTTTATCAATTAATCCGAATTGAATGTTTTGCCACGATTTGATTTTTTAGAAATCGAGGAACCGCGATGTTGAATAGAAATATTACCAAATGTTAGAATTAGACACTTTGACAAGATGCTTACAGTAAAGAGAAAAGGACGATCCAACCGCATGTCGGGAGTGAACTTCTTTGAACTTGAGTGCAGTGTTTTTAGAATGGCGTTTCATGCATGAGACACGAGCGCAACAGTCAAACACATCCATGTTTACACTGAAAAAACAATGGAAAAGCAGCGCAATCGAATAAAAAAACCCAAAACCTGTAAAGAACTACTACTGTATGTCTGATATTTCATGTTTGCGTCATGGTGACAGGCTGAAAGCTGCTGTTGTTTTTACAGAACATTTATTGTTAATAGCCTAATAGTCTACTGGTGTTATACCGTCAGTCATTTTGAATTTGAATTACCTTGACTTTTGAGATTTTTTTAAAAGCATTTTCCTCGTATTATTTCTGAGCACATAATATGTATAAGACAAGTTTGTACAATATGTAGTTGTGGTTTATGCATCTTTTCTGCAAATATATTTAACAAGCGATTTGTTTAACATTTACATCGTTGACAACATGTGTGCTGCACTTGGGATAGAATTGTCTTTAACTAGAGGGTTAATAAAGAAAAAGTTATACTTGAATCATGTTGTAGTTACATTTTCAAGTTGACTAGTTAAAAATCGTTAAAAAAAATCGAGAATCGGTCAAACGTTCTGGAAAAATCGGGATTTTAATGTTTTGCCAAATCGCCCAGCCCTACTGTATATTAATACATATTGTAACTTTTCAGTTTTCAGGAAACACAAGTAAACCACTGATGCCAAGGAGATTTTAAGATGAATTTCAACAAAATGATTATTTTGATGTTTAAATAAATCTTTCCTTTCGTGAACAAGGGTGTGGAAAGAGCCTTATGTAAAAAGGTTTGTCTCAGTGCTAATCTGACTACCTTGTTTTGCATATCCTTTAAGTTTCTAATAAAATTAGGTGACTGCATGCTTATTTTTTCAAGTGTATTCAGTGGTGAAACATTTTTGTAAGTGGTGGTTATTAGGATCTTAATATGGCTACACTCATTTCATATTTAATCATTTAATTGGATCTATTCAATCATTGTGTTTGATCTGGTGAACAAAAAATGCCCCAATTCTTGATAATTGTTGAAATAAATGAAGGCAAACTAAAATGATCATGATCAAATATGTATTATTGTTTCTTCCCGTGCAGAGCCTGCATGCATCACAATGGCCGTCACTTGTATCAGGTGTTCTTTTACTGGTTTTGGTCCCACTCAAATCACAAGTTTGCTATACTGTGGCAAACCAAATCAGCCATATAATTTTTGCTTTTTCAAAAGCAATATTCCTTGCTTGATGAATGAATATTCCTTTCAGAGGAAGCATGGCATGGTGGCCTGTGGCAAGCCAGAAAAATATATACAATTCTATTTATATGTTAAAACTACATTATAAGGGTTTTGAAGTTAAGCTTTGAAATCAGGAGATGAAACTAGTTTCACAGGATTTCACAAGTTTAATGTCAACAGGTGTACTGTATAACATAACATAAAACCTGCAAATGTGATTTCAAGGTGAAGGGACATTATCAAGGACATGCGTGTTGAAATAGACATTTGCTAAATTAGTTGTCACAGCACAAAATGTGAAATTATTCAGAGGCTACAAGGGTAAGATTGCCCACTACTTAGAAGCACGAAGGATCAAAATATTTTTCCAGTCTTTTTTGGAAAGAAAAAAAAAGGTTATGCATAATTATCTGGCTCTTCTATATTTTAAATTATGGTTATCTGATTATCATTTATTGCACTAACCCTCATAAGGTCTGCATTTCCTGTATACACTTAGGGTCTTTGAGGTCAGTATGACCCCAAAATTGAAAGAGTAATTGTAAAAAATATATACATTTTTAATCATACAAATAATAGATATATTTGTTTTGTTCACTTCTCATCTATACATTAATGCTGTTTTGGGAGATATGAAGTACTTTTGTACCGGTTTAGCACAAAATTCTTCAACTACACCATTATCTTGCATGTGAAACATTACATTTTTATGAAAAATTTACTTAAATGATCTAAATTTAATTTAAGTTGTTTCTAGATATTGATCTAGGTGTTAGTTGTAGAATTCTGTCATCTGCTGGTTAGAGAAAAACTTGTAGAAATCAGTTTTTGAAAGAATAGTGTAGTGACCATATATATCCAGCAGAGGTCCATAGAGACCCATTAATTTTTTCTGGAAGTGGGCAACTCCTCCCCTCACAGCTTTTCTGATATATACAGAATTTTTGTTGTTTGAGGTATTTTGGTGTGCCCGCTTTTGCAATAATGCCACACAAGTGGTCACTAAAACTTGATTGCAGGCACATTTATTTCAATTTAAAAAGTAAAATAAAAACAATTTTATTTTACTTAAATGTAAATAAAACCAATACCAAAAAAACAACTGCAATAAGCAGATATGAATGGTGTGTGTACAGTATAAGGCCTTCGTTTTTGTGTGGACATTTTCAATTTATTGATTTTATTTGCCAATTTCTATAAAAATGCTCTTTGTTGCAGTCACACGTGTTTGTGTGCGTGTGCATGTGATTGAGCATGTCTTTTCTACATTGCATTTCTAACCTAGTACCAGGCCTTAATTTCTGTGGAAATTTTCAGATTTATTTTTTTTATAATTATATATATAGAGAGAGAGAGAGAGAGAGAGAGAATTCACATTCCTTTTCAATTGGGGTCATATTGACCCCAAAGACCAGATTTGTAAAAAAAAAAAAATGTTTACTGCCTGTTTTTTTTATATGAATACAGAGTTGAAAAGTCACAAAAACTTATTCCATTGAGATGAAGGGAACCATTTTTTTTTTACCTAAGGAAAACTTGATTTGGGGTCATATTGATATTAGGGTTAAGTAAAACTAAAGCATGTACATAATTCAGGTTGTAACGAGTAAAATACGTTGTACATCAAGTTGGCATGAAAGCAACAAAAGCATAATCACTATGATGAGTTTGGAATGAGTGACCATTTTGGCCAAACCATCTGATAGAATTAATTTTACACGTACATTTAGGTTTTACTCTTATTTTACACTTTACCCACCACCATGGAAACCTAGCATGGAAGTCACAGAACGGCCCGAAAGAAAGACCAAACAAACAAACAAACACTTCAAATACTTTTTACACAATGTCTTTAATTTTTTTTCTAATTACAGACTCATGGGTTAAAAATAAAATAAAAAAGGAAAACATCTTCTCTTTTCATCCACACCCACTCCCCCATCTGAAAAAAGAAAACGAACAGAAACAAGAAACCCCTCTCCACACAAACCCCCCTCCCTCCCCCTGAAATAAAAGCTCCGAAGCCCTCCTTAAGTAACCGATACCTGTAGCCCACGCGTTAGTGCTCCATCGTGCCTTAACTGCACTGTGCACTGAGAAAGACAAGGCCCTAGAAGAACCCTCCCCTTCAAGCTCTTTCTAGTCCTGCCTCTCTCACTCACTCGCAATTTAAGCAGCCATTGCTCTATCATGGCTCTGCCTTCACGATATATAAATTTGTGTGGTGGATGTGTGCGGTGTCTGTATGTCTGTGTTAACATGGGCCTGGTGCATCTCAGTATATTCATGTTGTTAAAGCTCAGCGCTTGTTATTGTAATAAATGCCTCCCGCAGTGGGCCGGTGGTCGCCCTGTCCACCTCCCCCACCCCCCCACATGGAGAGGATGGGGTGAGTGTGCATAGCGGGTGCAGAAAGAGACAGAGACGCCGCCGAGACGGTAGGGGGCGCCGCAGCCACGGGAGGAGGGGTAGTCAGCCTCCACTGGTCTTGAAACCTGAAACGACAAGAAGTGGTCTAATATACAGAGAGAGAGAGAGAAGGGGAAAGGAGGAGAAGCAGCACAGGAAAAGGGAAAGGATGGTCGGGAATGGCGTATGGCAGCGTGAGACAAAAAAAGAACTTTTAAAACACAAAAGAAAAGATCTCAAGAGCTCAGGCCATGCCATCTTACAATAGTTGTATGGTGTGGAAGATGGTTGAAGAACAGTAAAACGTAAAAACAACGCCCAACTCTAAACCACTGTCGGAATAACACAGGTGGAGGAAGTAATCCGAGTGAGGGATGAACGGGAAAGAAACCAGCGCTGGGGGGAAAAGGGACTCCAGAGAGAGCACAGACAAAATAGAGAATATGATCTCAAATAGCACAACTTTGTGAAAACAACAACATTCTTGCTATTAAATTGTTCACATATTCACGTTACAATCATTAAAAAAAAAAAAAAGTTAACATTTTTTTTCTGTTTGCCTTTCTCGAGTGCAAACATAAGAGGGGCTGTTTGCGGAGAGAAAAAAATCACAGCCAGACAAAAGGACACACATCTGCAGCCTGAGATTACATCATCTTCTCAAATTTAAACAAATGCCACCAAATCTCCCCAACGGCCATATTGTACCTTACCAGGGCGATCGCAACACCTCCTCACACGCACGCGCACACACAATCGCACACTGCGGCCAGTCAGTCTGTCTTTCCAGGAGATGCGCTTTTCTTTTTTTTTTTTTTTTCCTTTTTTGTCTTTTTTTTTCTTCTTTTTTTCTTCCTTTTTTGAGAGGGGTCTTTTTTTCTTTTCTATAGGGATATCTATAGATAGGGGGGGATTTCATAGGGGGGTAGGAAGGTATTAGTAAGGGGAGTACCACGATGTTGTTCGCCCTCGGCCCCTGGAAAAGAGAGAGAAAAAGAGGGTGAGTTCTTTTTTGTGGTTGGTTTAAGACGACGGACACCAATTCGATTTTTGGGGGATATGAGTGTTTGTATGTCAGTAATATGCATGTTAAAGGGCCTTATGAGGTGAACGTTTGTGCACTCATGTTTCAGGTATACACATAATTCATAATATGAAATGCAATGTATACCCCTCTTCATCTGATAACTAGTGATTAATGCAACCATGTATAAAGAATCCAGTAAAAGTGGTTTGATATAAAGGGAAGCTGAGGAAGATTATCCAACAGCAAAATGTGTGTGTGTTATATTCAGGCTTTAGAAATGATCTAGTGTCCAGTGTAGGGGACAGTGAAAGCACGCTCTCCCTCTTTCTCTCTCTCTGAACGGGGCGGCTCCTGTGGTCTCTGTAAAGGAGAGATCCTGGGGACATGAACCCTCCAACACATGCACACAGTTACAGTTGACGACACACAGCTCTCCACATATGGACTGGGCCACACACACACACACGCACGCACACACACGCACACAGTGAGACGCTCTTCATTCACACAAACCCCCTCCAGGAACAGCCTGTGCGCTTTACGGCACAGAATCCTCCGTCTTATTGGCTGGATACTAAAACAGTCAATATCAGGCTGCAGTAATGAACCCTCCATTCTGGAAGTGAACATGTTGTTAATCATGCGAGGGGGTGAAAATGACCCAAAATGGGCTTTTCTGAACCAAATGTGCCCGAGGTCAAACACACACTTGCCTTCAAGTTGTTTAGAGCTGAACTTGACATCAGCTACATACTTGATATAGTTTATCTTGTTTTACAGTATAATCCCATTGGCTAACTGTAAAAATGTGCCACCATATAAAAACCTACTTAATTCAAATCTGGGTATCAAGTTGGGTGTGGGATAAAATAAATATTTTAACTAGTGCCGTCAAATGATTAATCGTGATTAATCACATCCAAAATAAAAGTTTTTGTTAACATAATATGTGCGTACTGTGTATATTTATTATGTATTGATGAACACACACACACACATTTAGGGCTGCACGAGTAATTGAATGCGATTGTCATGCACATCTTGTCAGTAAAGCCGGTTCCGCCATTAGTAGTAAATCTCCAGCACGTGCTTTCAGATGGAGCAGCGTTTACTACACAGAGCCGTAGTTCACGGACAAGCCACGCAAAATTGCATTCATAATCGATTTAATAGCATGATTATGAAATCTAAGAAATCGTTCTGCGATTATGAAAGCTGTTTGCATAGCTTGTCAGTTAACTACGGCTCTGTGTAGTAAATGCTGCTCCATCTGAAAGCATGTGAAAATACGACCTTTAAGAACATGTTTTTACTCCAAACTCTCTTCATAAAGTCAGACGAGTGTTTGAAATAAATCCTTCTGTGGTGGTGAACAAAGGCCTTCTGTAGCGAATCGATGCGTTTTTGTAAGAAAAATATTCATATTCAAAATGTAATAATCACTTTAAATGTAGCTTGCGCTCACTGTTGTAAACGGAAGCAGCTCCGGGCGGATGACGTATGGAGGTCGGCTTTGCGCCGCTCAGAAGTGACGCACGCAGAAGCGCAGGGGAGAGATCAAAACAACGGTCATGAATTAGAAGTCCAAAACGAGAATTTGTAAAGAAGAATGTCAGAGGATTTCGATATAAGCCAAGAGGAGACTGGTTTTCCTTTGCACCCGTTAACAAACGTTGGTTTTCATGAGACGCGCAGCACTGACCTCATACGTCATCCGCCCGGAACTGCTTCCAGTGTACAACAGTGAGCGCAAGCTAGATTAAAGTGATTATTACCTTTTGAATATGGATATTTTTCTTACAAAAACACATTGATTTGCTACAGAAGGCATTTGTTCACCCCCTGGAGACGTGTGAAACAGCTTTTTTTTTAATGGATGGGTGCATTTTATTTAACTGCTTTTGGACTGATGCACTGCAACACCCGCTGAGCGTGATGAAACAGCTTGAAAGATCAAAGACAATTTTTTATATAACTCCAACTGGATTTGTCTGTAAGAAGAAAGTCATATACACCTAGGATGACTTGAGGGTGAGTAATTTATGGGCTCATTTTCATTTTTGGGTGAACTAACCCTTTAATTACGAATGGTTTATAATGCAAACAGTTTTACCGTTTAATGCACATTGTTATTCTTCTCGTTATTTCCCTATAGCGGCTAATGAATCTGAAGTCTTGCCCATAGGCTTACTTCAGCATTGAAGAAAGGTGGATAGGGATTTCCTGGGTTTCTTCTACAAGGCGTATTTGGAGTTTCAGCCTCTGGCCTTCGGATGGAGATTTACTGCTGAACACAGAACCGTGCTTCACTCAAAGATATGCATGACAATCGCAGCTTCTGCCTTTGCGATTTAATTTCGATTAATTGTGCAGCCCTAGAAAAATGTTACGTTTATATATTAAATATTTATATATGATATAAATTCTATGAATATAAATATATACATGTAAATATTTTCAAAATATATGCTGCGTGTGTGTATTTACATATACATAATATACATGTGTGTATTGTGTATATTTATTATGTAAACAAAACTTTTATTTTGGATGCGATTAATCGTTCGACAGCACTAATTTAAACCAATCAAAAACCTTTCACAGGGCATCAACCCAAGCTCCACTCCAACAAAAAAAGTCAAAGTGTGGGAGTGCACGTACAAGAGTTTCCCAACAAACTGATGTACAAGATTCTGATTCATAAAATGCTTTCACTCTACCAGATCTTTCAACATAAAATCTTCTATTTACATCTCTTCGTCGCCGAAACTATTAATTGAGTGCTAAATCCTTTCAGAGGGCCTATCAGGATTTGGGTTGTGTCCCAAAACCTAGTGAAACGTCTTTCTAGAGAGGACCACAGGCCTGTTAAAAAAAATTCACCACTGTTAAGCAGCTCACTGTTTTAAGACACAATTCAGAAATCATCTTCACATTGGGAAGCAGACTGACTTTCGAACCTCTGGTGAGTGTGAAGGCTCATTCCATGCTCAGAATCTTACACGGCAGGAGGGAAATGGACAGCGATGATGACGATGGCTGTGCATGTGTTTAATGGTTTGTAATTCTTCCTCAGTTTTCCTTTTAACATGACGACACACAGGAGTTTGTACAGAGAGTGCAGACTACAAATAAGAGTGGTGCGGTTCCTTCTCTCCTCACGCCCAGAGGCATTAAACAGGGGCATGCATACATACAGAGGCAGACTGTTATACAATTACAGATTAGAACAGAAAGGTAACAAGCAAAAAAATAGGGGGGGGGGGGGGAGGGGCTGACTGAAAAAGGAAAAAAAGCGACTGGCATGTTATTATAAAACCAACATGAATTTGATTTGATACATTTTTCCAGCAGTGTTTTGCATGACAAGATGGGATAAATAAAATAAATAACAAAATGAAGCATCAACATTTAGAAACACTTATTTTAGATTGTCCCCCCACCCTGATGCACACACACTTTCACAGCAGCACTCTCTGTCAGGATGGAGCCTGTGTGTCAGTCACTGTCAAACATGCAAGGCTGGCATGGAGCTCACCTGAAGGCCCGTCCTCTGCCTCTGGGGGGTGTGTAGCCACTGTAGTAGCGCGCCCTGGATGAGAAGTTTCCTCCCCGTGAGCGGAAGCGGGCCCGAGGGAAACCGCGGTCTGTGGTGCTAATGCCAGGACGATTTGTTCTCTTGGCCCCAACCTGTAAGAACAGTTGGGAAATTTATGATTAAAATTTCAAAAGACTCCAAAAACATTTTAAATATATTTTGTACAGACCCTAAAAATTGAATAAATGACATTAAAAAAAGGTAAAAAATACACTGAAAATGTAAGTGTTTGCCAATCCTTCATAAAGCATGTGCTACATTTCTACAATAATATTTGTTGCTTAAACAGAATTATCAGTTTTATGTTGACTTTAAAAGTCAAACATTTATTAGCAGCATTAGTTAGCGAGTTTGTAATGCCTCATCTCACCTTAATCTGCCTTCCTCTGAATAAGGACTCATCCAGTGCCATGGCTGTCCTAACAGACTCCTTGTCTGCAAACTCTATATATGCAAACCTGAAACATGAATAGGGCAAATGATCAAATGAGGGCAGGTGAGGTCAATAAAAAAAAAACAAGCAAGCATATATAAACATATATATCTATATATATATAAGAGCTGGGCAAAAATCTAATGCAATTTTCATGCAAATCTCATCAACACAAAATCGCGTTCAAAAACGCAGGCGATTCATTGCCGATTTTGAACATCTTGTCAGTGAACTATGACTGTGTAGTAAATGCCGCTCCATCTGAAAGCACGTGCTGGAGATTTACTACTAATCACAGAACCGGCTTTACTGACGAGATGCGCATGAAAATCGCATTTGATTTTTTGCACAGACCTAATATATGCACCAAAAAACGAAATAAGCATTAGGGCTGCACGATATGTCGAAAATATCGAAATATCGCAAATGTAAATATCGCGATATGCATATCGCAACGCCGTGCGATAGCTGAATCATTTTAATAATAGGCTACTTAAATCAAAACATTGCAAAAGGTCAAAGTTTTAGCTCGACGCATATAGCAGAGAATTGCTTTACGTTTAAAAAGAGTTATCAAGAGCAATAAGTTGCAGAAAGCAACTCTTTTGTCGTCTCGTCTTGCTGTCTGACAGACTCACACCTGAACACAGAGACACGTTTCAGATGGCGCGCGAACACCGAGTTGATTCGTCTTTCGCATCTCCTCCTCATGTTTGAACAGACACATACACACAGAATTATGTCAATAGTACCCGGCTCGACGATCATTCTCGTAAACGCAGTCAGTTGTGTTTTAAATGAATGTAAATAGCTGAGAAAGAAATCGGATGTGTATCATTATACTGGATCCGTGCAGTCAGATTTAAAGGGACAGCAGCCTATAAATACGTACTGCTGAATATGTCACTAATGTTAATCAAACAACAAAACAGCTATAACAAAGATTAATCTAAATTTAATTCATACAGTGAACAATGCAGTGTTATTTTACACTTAATTATTAAATTTCTGTATCTGAATACTACCGTTTATTTGATCTATGCTTGTAAATTGTGTATTTGTTCTTTTCCCCCCCTTTTTCTTTCTTTTTTTTACTGACTGTTCACTTGCCTTTAATCATGTTTGAACTTTCTCAGACTATAGTTTTTGCTGTGGTATATGAAGTAGTACTTAAAGTGTATGGAATGCAAAGTCACAATGATATAAAATTAGTGTCATTAATTTTTTTTTGTCATTCACATTGATGTTAAAATGACATTTTCTGATTTGTGACATTACTTTTTATGTACTGCTAAAACACTGCTGGTCACTTTCAGAAGTTGTAGTGATTCTTTCTTTTCCAAGAAAGAATGTGAAACAAATTGTTTATACAATTTTCATTTTTAAATATTTAAAAATATAATTTAAATAGATTTTTCACACTTTAAGCAATATCGTATCGCATATCGCATTTTTTAACAAGGTATCGTGTATAGCATTTTTTTTCAATATCGCACAGCCCTAATATACATATTGTTAAAAATGTATTAAGATATGAACAGTGTTCAAAGTAGCAGTGATTAAAGCATTGCATTAAAAAATGACCCCATGCAATGATTCAAATTATTAATGGGAGCAGCTTGAAAACACTGTGCACCAGAATAGCACAAAAGCTAAAGAACAGTCTCACACTTCACAGTCTCAAGTCCATATATAAATAGTGTAAAATCATGCAACGTAACAAAATACCATACTAATTACTGCAATGTGGCTATTCAAAAAGATAAACAATTATGTTTCAACCGATTCTGGAGACAAGTTATTTTAAGGTAAAATAATTTGTGATTAATAGTGTGCTTTACTGTACAAAATTTCAGAACATCTGAATAATATTTCAGTGGCTACTGTTCGTTTTGTGGGTTGAGGTGATGCATCAATGCCTACTCTAACCTACAGTGCCTATCCGGAGCAGATGCTGCAAAACAGAAGAAAATAAGATGCCCAAGACGACGACGAATGTTGTAGGTTAAGAGAGAAAAACCAACAGAAGAGTGCATGAATTACCCTTTGGGGTGTCCTGTAAACTTGTCACACAAGATGGTGACTCGGTTTACGGAACCACAGCCATGGAAATGCGCCTCCAACTCCTCTGCCGTCGCACCATAATCCACCTGCAAGAGACAAAATCGAATCAACACCACTTCTAAAATGTCATTAAATCAATTATGATAAGGAAAATATTACATGTGACATAAATGCAACAAAATACATGAATATAGCTTGTAGTTAAGTCGGTATAAAAATAATTGCCCATACATTTCCAACGTAAATAGATCTCCCATCTGCTTCCATCTTCTCTTCAATAGACATAATGACAGGGCCAGCTGCAAAGAGAAAACACCGTATTCCCATTCAACTCCAACACTCATGCATTTATGTGATTTAGCACAGAAACTTATGGAACGTTATTCCGGACAATTTTCAAATAGATTAGCAAATTGTGTTTTCAATTGCGTTTTCAATATGTGGACGCATAAATTGTGACAATCCAAATGCAGTTGCAAATCCTGCATTACCGTTTGCAATTTCGGTTTCGCGAACGCACAGCTACGGCCAAATTTCAAATGAAAAAGCAAAGTCCATTTGCAACTGTATTTCCCATGTCTTAGGAGTTACGAGCCAGTCATATTTAAATAGCAATATTAATTACCAGTTTGCTTTTTCACTCTCGCTGCGTCACGCATGTAACCTGCCAAAACTCAAATGCAATTGCAATTCCTTTTGCGTTTGAATTTCCGATGTCTACATGGAAAGCTGTCAATCAATGTGAGGGGGCGGAGCTATACTAGGGGGCGTGTTTGTAGCGAAAATGCAAACGGTAATGCAGGATTTGCAACTGCATTTGGATTATGTCACAATTTATGCGTCCACATATTGAAAACGCAATTGAAAATACAATTTGCTATTCTATTTGAAAATTGTCCGGAATAACGTTCCATAGAAACTAGTGTCTGCAAGCTTACTGCATAGCTTCACAGCTGAAATCTAGGTTACGTTCTGTTTCTAGTCATAACTCAATTGACCTCAAATGGTCCAGAGCTAGTTATTCTTCTCCCACTAATGCAGTCCTATTTACCAGTACTGCCTGTTCTGCAGTGCTCTCCCTAGAGCTCAATCTTCCCCAGACTTGCCCGTTCACCCTCCCTCATTCATTCATTCATTCGTTTAGTCTCACTTACCAGGTGGAGGACTGAGATTCATCTGTTTCTCCACCTCGTTCTGTAGCTCCTTCAGTTTCTCTGCCTCCTCCTCCATCTCTCGCACCCGGGCTTTAATTGCCTCCAGCTCCTGAAAAGGCAAAGTAATGCACATATACTGACTTCAACCATCAAAAAACACATTGTTAGACATTTAACAAAACTGAAATGGAATATTTTGCATAACTATATTCTGAATAAATTATTTGGCTTCCCTCATCGACAGCCACATTGGATCTATATTGCATCAATATCATGTGTTGCTGCTAAATACAGCCGATTTCTTTCCCAGAATGCACACTCATTCATTATTCTCACCAGTGATCGTGGACACAGCATGCACATGCACTTTCACACGTGATTGTGCACCGAGTTCTTTCAAACCACCATTTATTATTGTCCAGTCAGCAAGACGCCCCAAGCATGATGCCATCCGTGCACGCATTGTCGTGCGCGAGCGAACACACTTTTGGTGTGTGTTCACACGCACGCACACAAGTTTGAGCAGTGCTGCATTGCAGGGCAGTGGGAGTCGCACTTGGATCTCGAGTAAAGTAACCCAGCATGTATGTGATGGCCTCTTTCACGCAGTTAAAACAAGATTTTGCATGATACGAGCTAGCATTCACAACCGATCACAAGCGCAACCAACAGTGACTAATTATTTACACACCCTCATTGCATGATGAAATAAAGTAGACATGCATTCTGCATGCAAATGCATGACCTACTCTAGCTCCAATAATGTTAATGTGCACGGAGAAAAACGCACCAGCCCAGCCCCAATGCACCATCTCCACCACAAAATCACCAACAAATGATGCAATACATCACGAGCGGCATCTAATCTTTAGCGCACATCGAATAAAATGATCGCGGCGATACAGATGTGCATTACGTTACATACAGTGCGCTTTGCCCACCGACAACTCTGTAGCTTTCCTTAATGTTACCAATTCGACGCAAAATCTGAAAATAAAAGCTTCTCACGCCTCTTAACATGTCACACACGTCGCATAAAGATTTATTCCATTGCAGAGGCCAAAAACAATCACGCGCAGGTACCAACGCGACTTACTTTTGCACGCCACAAATATTACTGATCAGAAAAGAGGCGTGTTTACCCTGAGCCGTCTGCTTCTTTGCGGATGGACCCACACTGCTGCGGCTAATGGCGGCCTGTCCTACCCTCGCCCCGGTCTCTTACATCTCCCGTCTCGCATTTTTTGAGATGAAGATTTTTTCCCCCCGCTAGGTCGACAGATCTGGCGCAGAGGAACCCAGACCAATGTTGCGCCAACATGGCGGCCGGCAGCACGCATGTCACTCACTAATTCTACTGCACTGCGTGAGCCACAATGGCGGACAAACCGACCTGGCAAAACCGGTTTCGCGTAAACATGAGAATTTAGTTTTGGTATGAAATTCACATATTTCTTTTAAATGTGAGGCCGGGGGTTAGAATTTAGGATGAAAACCTATACACATTTTTTTAACTTGTTGTTAAAGCGAGGGAAATGCGTCCTTCACTCACCGGATCTTCAATAGCGGCCTCTCCCTCGTCTAATCCCGGTTCTTCATCGCCGACACCTGGGTCTTCAAGTTCTGAATGTCCCGGGTCTGAGTCCAGCAGAGATTCATCTGCCAGTCCGTTACCAAACTCCGCCATCGCCTGATTCCCGGTGGTCCGACGCGCCTCGTGGCTGCACTACAGGCCGCGACTCTCACAGGGGGGAGCGAGAGGGGTAGGGGAGGGAATAAAAAAACGGCGGAAAACGCCGCTCACTAAAGTTAAAATGGGGAATAAAAGCCCGCCTCGCTTCTTCTGGAGCTCAAACGTGTCCTTCAGCGGAAAAAAACAACACTATTTATCCAAATATAAATAGGTTTCACTTCGTCAATATGTCGCACTTACTACTCTATTTACATTAGAAGACAAATTCAGAAAAGCAAATGTGTAATCTTCGCGAGCGCTCGTGTGTTCCAGAACAGAAATGGAAGCCGTAGGCGGGGATTCTGAGCACTGCAGGCGCACCATCGACGGGTGATTGGACAATTCTTCACTTTAGACACGCCCTCTTAACGTATCGAGGACGGGTATTGGACTTCTCTGCGCTCGCTGCTTAGAATTTACAACAGCAGCTGTGATTGGATAAAAGCAGCGTCAATCACGGCTCACGAACCACTTAGATTGAGTTACTATGCTATGTTGCCATGTCCGCACAATATAATCCACGTGGATTTGTATTTTACACAAAGTTTTGCACTTACTACTCTATTTACATTAGAAGACAAATTCAGAAAAGCAAATGTGTAATCTTCGCGAGCGCTCGTGTGTTCCAGAACAGAAATGGAAGCCGTAGGCGGGGATTCTGAGCACTGCAGGCGCACCATCGACGGGTGATTGGACAATTCTTCACTTTAGACACGCCCTCTTAACGTATCGAGGACGGGTATTGGACTTCTCTACGCTCGCTGCTTAGAATTTACAACAGCAGCTGTGATTGGATAAAAGCAGCGTCAATCACGGCTCACGAACCACTTAGATTGAGTTACTATGCTATGTTGCCATGTCCGCACAATATAATCCACGTGGATTTGTATTTTACACAAAGTTTTATAGATAATATACATTTAAACTTACTTCCAGAATACAGGCCCATATTTAGGCTTCCTAGTACTTGGCCTAAAAAGCACAAGTATGACCAACCACTTAAAGCAGTTCAGTTGTCAAAGTCAGGAATAAGATTGTGCTTTTTCATTTTTTTATCTCCTTCCTTCTCAGGATGTTTGTCATATTCATAAAAACTAAAATAATAAATGAAGAAAAATAAAGCATGACCACTAAAATGGCTGTCCTCACCTACTGTCTGAGTTGTTTGTTACATACTGTACAATTTCTTACATTTCTCCCTTTTCCATTCCCTGTGTGTGTGTGTGTGTGTGTGTGTGTGCACAAAAGACAGTCATTTGGATTATCAGTAGTTGTAGATGGCCACTATGTGAGATATTTTAATATATATACATTTTAAATAATGTACATAAAGTACATTTTCAAAATGAAAATGCTCGTTTAATATATAATTTATGAGTTTTCAATTGAGATCTGGCAACAATGCAAAGCACAGTAGAATTCCTAAATCTTCCAATATAACTTAACCCGAGGCCATTAAAACTGTGCATATTCGTCTTACCCACTATGTGACACGAATGTTATCTCCAAGTAGGCCTACTTTTTCAGTATTTTTTAATTTTGCCTACCACATCAAGCAACATATGAAGCTCAAGCAGTGTTGGGTGACAAGATGTATGCTTAAAAATTGTGCTCGTTTCTCAGATAATCCCTGACAAGATAGTCCATAATAGTTACATTAATTAGTGCTTCCAACACACAACTTAAAATATGAATGCATCTACATAAATTCTAAGGGTAATTTACATAATGAAGCAAAACATCAATACATGAATTTCAGTTTATTTGTTTTCTGCATAAGAAAAAAGGAGAACCAACACAAAATGAAGGTACAAGTGAGGGGAAAACAAGCTTAATCAATACTCTAATTTTTCATAACAAGACTGCCACCATTATCATTTAATATTCATATCAATGACATCTCGAAGTCTGAAATGCCATTAAAACCGTTATGAATCAATAATAATCAAAAGTGATGAAAGTACTGAAAAATAGTAAGTAGTACAGTTATAACAAGTGATAATCAAGTGTCAATGAAAAGGTGAAAAGATGATATAAAAGCATTTCTCCATATCCTACCGATATACTCTGAACAGTGCAACACCGTGTGATCCCACGTCCTGTAGCACTGCACTACAACCCAGTCCATGTTCATTTCATATGAGCTACAACTTGACACTAGTTGAAGAAAAACAACTTGTATTTGCTGGGATATATACCGAAAACAAAACTTTTCTATGAACTTCAAGTGTTCCAAGCGGAGTTGTCTGAAATGCATTTTTCTGTAGCTCATGCTTAAACCCTGGACTAGTTCAAAGTGTCAAGGCATGGGAGCTCCATTTGCAGTTTGCATTACGAACACTTCCAATCAAGATTGCTTTTTGGTTTCTTTAAATGACACAAAGCAAGAAGAATAACAACTTTGGAATATCATTTTCTTAATATAGTTCGTTAGAAAATCTTTTTTAGTTTTGCATTTTGTTAAAGTATTAATAGTATCAATAATATTATACAAAATAAACCAAAAAGGAAAATCGTCTTTAGTATTTCATGTCCTTCAAATCACACCTCATGTTGCCCTGATGAGTAGTTTCCAGGTTCACTAAAGCACCCTGTCTTCTCTCCTGGTGGGTTTTAAGAAAAATACTTGAATCTACTCAGTATGAGCACTCAGTTCTCAACAACACAAAACGCAGAAAAAAAGATGACAACTCTCTCCCATAATTCTAAAACGCTTTTGCTCTTACCATAAATAAATGACTTTTGTGTTTAATTTATATCGACAAGCTTGGGTTACTCCCTAAAAATTCAAACCAAACGAAATGGTTTATCAGAGGGTGTAAGGTATATAATTTAGATGTTCCACAAATCCATATAAAATTGTGTAAGTACAGACTTAACTTTGGCTTCGTGCACAGCGGCTAGGTCTGATCCATATTTTTGTTGTCTGTGTTTAACTATGTGCAATGCAAACCCTTTAAAAATAACATTAAAAGCTGATTAATACTTCATTATAGTTTGACATACAGTAAGATTTCACCATACAACAAAATTGTGTTTATTTTGCGGAACACGAAAACCTTAAAAAAAAAAAAAAAACATCGGACTTTAAAAGGGTCAAAGTGCTGTATGATGACCATCTGACATCTTGAACTTTCAATGCGAGCTCTGCTGATGACTACGGGATTGTCATGATGGTTGTTCAAAAATAGCTATCGTATTGTTAACAACGTCCTCGTTTTAATGCATCTGGATTCAGAACACTCTCCCAAAATCTCCATATTCCAGAAGACACATATTCTCAGTCTTACTTGCCATTTTCATTACCATCTATCATTAGCGTGGTCTAGTTATTTCTTTCAAATGAGCCAGAAGGGGAACTTCGGTTTATAGAATACATTTCTTTGAATTAACAAGACAATTGGAGATAAATCAGCTTAGAAAAACAACTATTCTATATAGGCTTTAAAACAGGCTAAAGACCACCCTGGCTCAAGCAAAAGCAGTACCACAAACATAATTGAGAACCCAGAGCACTTTGGTTGAGTTTTTGGGTGCTTCATTACAATAGATTCTCCCAATCAAACAAAGTGTTTTGTGTAAACGCGAGTAGAAATAATACCCAACACAATAGGAGTTTAAACCGGGATGACGTTGTGAAGACAGACCATAATCACATAAGCATTAGCATGTCCATGATTACCATTTCAGTAGATTATTTATAGTAAAATGATGCTGTGGCAATAGGTCATTAAAAGGAGCCCTGTAAGCAAAGACTCTATATCATAATAACAATGTCTCGCTGATATCCAAGGAGAGAGAGCGAAGATGGCCAGTGTCAACTGGGCCTGCTCCAATTTTAGAGCCTCAAAAGAACATTAGCTTAAAAGACCAGCACCCATCTTCTGTCTATTGAAAGCCAACAAGTTTAGTGGGTCCGCAGACAATACCAGCTTCAATTCATTGTTTAGCTGGAGCTGCTAGCTGGTGATGGGGTAGAAGACTGGCTGGCAACACCAGTAGACCCCATACCAGATCCATTGCTGACCAATGATGCTTGCTGACCAAAGTTAGTGGTTCTCAGAGTGGCAAGATGTCGAGCTGAGAAGACATGGTCACGTGCTGCAGCCCTGGATTCGAATTCAACCCCACAGGCATCGCACTTGCCTCTCAGAGTCTCACGGCCTGTTGTCTGGCCGATGATATATGATGGAGTTGGATCCATAACTGTCAGTTGTACAGGTTTGGGCAGGATGGGGCGGTTGGCTCGGAGAGCATTATATTGTAGGTAGCTACCCGAGCTGATGTCTACCTTCTTAGAAGGGTCATTGGGATTAGGAGACTGCGTGAGGATGTAAAAAAAATAAATAAATAAAAAAAGAAAAAGAAAAAAGAAAAAAAAAAGTGTGTTAGTTTCATTTATTTATAATAAAAAATAATGCTAAGCAATACCAATAAAAATAAAGAAAAGTGAACAATTAAATGAGAATCCCTCTGTTTTAAAGGAAAAAATTTGGTCATTTATTTACCTGATGACACTTATGGCGCTTTTCCACTGCGTGGTACGACTCGGCTCGTTACGGCTCAGTACGGGCCGGCACGGCTCAGTTTGCGTTTCCACTGCAGTTTAGTATCCCTTTACAATGGGCGGGATTATTCACATGTCGTTATAGTTGCGCCGCCTCTACTGCCGCGACTCCTAAAAAACTTTTTCATTCCGCGTCACCCCATCAAGCTCTCGCCGGATCCGCTCCTCTGCTATCAACGAGAGGAACGTCTGTACTTCCTCAACAGGGGGAACAGCCACTTTTTGGTTGTTAAAAAAAAGGTGCGCTCATTCAAAACAGTTGCGTTCGATCCTTTGCTGGCTGTGCTGATTTAAATCTAGCGGTTCTTTTGTGTTTGTGTCGCAAGTTTAGTGACGCAGGTAGTGACGATTCTCTCCGGCCAATCCGTGATCAGCAGAGTTTACACGTCACGGTTTGGTAACGGTACGGTACGCTTGGAACCCCAACCGAGGTGGTACTAAAAAAAGTATCAGGTACTGTACCCAGTGGAAAACCCCCCCAAAAGTGAACCGTACCGAGCCCTACCATGCAGTGGAAAAGCGCCATTAGTAACCATGTGCCATTTGTACCAAGATGAATAAGAAATTCTATTCTTACACAATCTTTTTACTTAAAGGGATAGTTCACCCAAAAAGGAAAAATCTGTCATTAATTACCCACCCTCATGTCATTCCAAACCCGTAAGACCTTCGGTTCATCTTTGGAACACAAATAAAAATATTTTTGATGAAATCCAAGACCTTTCTGACCCCCCATAGACATCAACGCAACTACACATTTCAAACCCAGAAAGGTAGTAAGGACATCATTAAAATAGTCTATGTGACATCAGTGGTTCAACCACAACATTATAAAGCTACAAGAATACAATAATTTTTATGTGCTCAAAGAAAACAAAAGTAATGACTTCATTCAACAATTTCTTCTGTTCCGTGTCAGTCTTTGATGCACATTCGACACATGCGTGTGGTGCTGCTGACGCTGGAGCCAATGTTCTGATGTAGAACCCGGATGCGCTGCACCTTGTTTGCATGCAGAGGAAGACGCACGATGTACATAACATGTCTGATGACTTTGAGAGAATGACTTGCAATTTTTGCCCAGGCTTACTTATCTGAACCAGAATATACAGATGATGAACTAAGAGAGATGTACGTTCTACGTCAGAACTCTAACTACTGCGTCAGCAGCACCATATGCATGTGTCGTGGTACTCTCTTGAATGCATGGAGGAGACTGACAGAAGAAATTGTTGAATTAAGTCATTATTTTTGTTTTCTTTGCACACAAAAAGTATTCTTGTAGCTTAATAGCATTATAGTTGGACTATTTTAATGATGTCCTTACTAACTGTGGGCTTTGAACGTGTCAGTTGCGTTGCTGTCTATGGAGGGTCAGAAAGCTCTCGGATTTCATCACAAATATCTTAATTTGTGTTGTCTTACGGGGTTGGAATGACATAAGTGTGAGTAATTAATGACAGAATTTTCATTTTTGGGTGAACTATCCCTTTAAGCAATTAATGTAAAAAAAAAATTTTTTTTAATGTAATGTTTTTTTGTTCTTATGCTTTTTACACCACTACGTTAAAGGGAATAATAGAATTTGAATTAAAGGTGACGCATATCTTGTGTTGCTATGATGAAAAAACATCTGAAGACCTTGAAGGCCAGTGACATTGTAGCAAAATACAAAAATTTTACATGAAAACAGCTGCTTTGCAATATTAAATAAAATGTCCTCACCATTTTCTCTTGCTGAAGCCTCCAACGTTTCTCCTTGGCACGTGTATTTTGGAACCAGATTTGCACAACCTTTAGTGGAAGCCCAAGCTCTGTCCCCACCGCCTCACACTCCAGTGCATTAGGATGAGCACATGTCTCGTAGCACGACTGCAGGATGGACAGCTGAAGAGAGTTCAGGTGAGTTCGAGGTCGTCTTGGGGTGGAGTTCTGCTGCATGTAACTTGTTTCTTTTTGGCTTTGAACAGAGGATGCTGTAACCGTCACAGGGGATGGTGTGGTAGGGGTGGAGGTGGTAGTGGGCATAGGTCGCTGGGAGCTCAGGCCTAACTGTTCTCTTGACAGGGTGTTGATCTTGAATGGTCCTTTCTGAGACCAATATTTGAGCCCATTGTGTTTCTGAGATGCCAAGGCAGAAGACTTGTTAATTGGCGTAGTGGACAATTTTGGCACCAAATGGCTGGTAGTCCCAAACTCAACCCCTCCTTGATAATCATCGTCCTCTTCATCGGTATGGTCCGACTCAGCTCGTACCTCTTCAACCTTCCTTTTTGGAGCAGATCGAGATGCAGGAATTTCACTGACAAGCAGAGGGACTGCAACCGGTGTGGCCACTGTCTTAGGAGCTATTTTAACCATTGTGATGGGAGTTGCTTCTGCTTTGGTCTTGTGAACTAATGAAGGACCAGTGGATACAACGGTGAAAGAGGGTGTCTGATTTGGTCTACTTGGACCTTGGGTGGGAGTTTTCAGGGGCTCCTTGACCTCCTTCACCTTATCCGTCTTTGGAGGAACATTTCCAGTTTGGGGTTTTGCAGAGGCCCAGCCAGTAGAGGGACTTGGGTTAGTTTTAGGTGGGGTTGAGAATATGGGCTTTGAGAGTGGCCAAGTGAACTTAATGAGTGGTTTCCCAACAGCTGCCAAAGTGCCATCACTGATAAAACGGACCTCTCCCTTTCGCTCCCTTGCCCTCATATTCTGGAACCAGATCTGAACCACTTTCTTTGGAAGGTTCACCCACTCAGATATTTGCTCAAATTCATGCTTTCCAGGGTTTGGATCTTTGAAATAACATCCATAGAGAATATCAAGCTGGTCAGCATGGATGATGGTCCTGGACCGTCTCATGTCCCTGAACCGTCTGAATTTTGGCCTCTTTTGTTCCCGCTCTTTTTCTCGTTCCTTCTCTTTTTCCCTTTCTATGAGTGATGTGCTAACTTTTTCTGCTGCCCTCATGTACACAGTGCTAGTCTTAGCCAAATTATTGCGATTAGTTAGAGTACTGTTATTGGAAGATGGGATAGCAATGGCAGAATCTGGCTTCACCTGAACAACAATAAGACTTCCATCTGTAGGAACCCCAACAGTCGCTGGTCTCAATCCCAGACCATCAAGCAAATTACTTTTCTGTATAGAGGGCTTGTTAGCTGTGGAGACAGATGATGATGTTGATGATAATGTAGAGCTGTGGTTTTTCCCCATACTTAGATCCAAAGCAGACTCACAATCATTACTATTACATAAAAAGGAGTGTGTAAGAGAGGTGGCTGCGTGTGCATTAAGGGGGTCCGAAAGAGCAGCTGGACTTCGAGTAACTGCTTGAGTGTTTGAAAAGGCCATTTTACTCCTATCACCTTCAGAAACACCAACCCCAATAACTGAGGAAGGAAGCGAGAGTACATATGGACTGTATAACTGGGTGGAAAGTTGAGTCAAAGACAGGGAAAGGGGCAGTGACTGCAAGAAGCCAGCTGGAATGCCCTGATGATCAACTGCAACTGAAAGAGGAGTAGGAGGGTCTGCTTGTGCCTCCAGCTGAAGATCAAGATCTACATCTTGCTTCTCCTGCTTGAGCTCCACCTCTTCCTTATCAATCTCACTCTTTCTCTTTTTCCGCTTCATACTTTGTTCATCATCATAGTCATCCTCTGCATCCGAGAGGAAGACTGTGGTAGAGCGAAGAACCTTTCCACCACCACCTGACCTTTCAGCTGTTGGCTCTACTGGTGAAGACTGTTTGACTGGGCTAACTGACTCTTCCCTCATAGAGCTGCTTTGACTTTCTTCATCAGTAACGATAACAGACGTGTAGAACTCTTCATTTTCAGAGTCAGATGTCAACAGCAATTCTCTTGGGCTTCCCTTACCAATTCTGTGTCTTTCCGCACTACTGGATAGGTCCATGGCATGACTACCTGTCGCTGATGGACTATGTCCATCTTCACCCTCATCTATCATTAAATTACCTTCCTCTTCCTCCATACTTCTGTCTCTTTCATCATGGAAGCTGTCTAATCTCCCCCTATCTTTGGATTGCCAGGCATCTAAGAACCACTTGCGTACCTCTTCTCCACTTAGCCCTACCTCCCTGCCGAGGGCTTCGCAGTCCTCCCGCTGAGGACTAGATGTCTCAGCATCATCTCGTGACTCTAAAAAGGCCCATAGAACCTGAGACTGGAACTCAGTGAGAACAGGCCGTCCTGAAGATAAGAGTAGTTGATCTTTTGCACTTCTATGGCCTGAAGATCTTAAGGCAAAATTTGTGTTACGAAAGTTACAGTTAGCAGCAGCAGAGCTGTTAACGGTATGTGTATGGCGGAGACCTTGGTTTGGATCCAAAGCACATGACAACGGACTATCACCCTGAAGGACCGGGGCTGCTGTGGATTTAGTTACTTTAGAGTTTGCATCTTCCTCCTCACACACCTTTTCACCCATCCCCTCGACTTTCATTTCACTTTCTTCTTGCTCTTTTTTATCACATGTTGTGCAGTCGCCCACCATTTTCTCACTTTGCTCCTGTGTATTCTCAGCCTTTATACACATCTCTTTTTTTACACCATCGATTTTCCAGTCCTCTTCTGATTTTAGTGACATCTGCTGATCGGAAGGCTCGACTTTTATCTCATTGCATACTCTGATGTCAGCACCTTTGTCCGGCATCTTGTTGGTCTCCTCTAAACTCATTTGAGTGGTGGTTGGGAGGCCAAATGCAGCCCACTGACTTTGTAAGCCACTGAGTCTTTGGGCCAAGAGAGCCTGTTGTGCAGCACTGAGACCAAGGACTGGCACTGCCTGCTGCAAAAGCTGGTTTGGAGACTCTGGATTCTGGCCCTGGATTTGAGTTTGGAGTCCATTCAACACCAGGGGCATGAGCATCTGAGGCTGGGGTATAAGCTGCGGGGTAGCTGCTCCAGGTGTTGCAGACGCCCCGGTTGTGAAGAGAGAAGGAAGAATGGAGTGTGGGAGAGAATTTGGGCTGGAAGTCAGGAGAGTGAGAATAGCAGACATGGCTTGTGCAGAGGCCACCGGAGAAGAAAGTAATGAGGGCGCTAGCTGAGGCTGCACCTGCTCTCCGTCTTTGGTCGTTACTGCTGATGCAGTCAGGTTTGCTTGGGTGACACAATTGCTGGTGGAGGTGTTAACTAACTGTGTGGTGCTTCCAACAGTAGTTGCAGCCAAGTTTGTAACCATGGATCCGGTTCCTGTATTTGCAGTGGAACTAGGAGTAGCATTCCCAGCACTCCTGCTGCGACTCTGGTGCAACACAGATTTTAAATGACTTTCCAGGGTGATGGCATGATTGTAGGAGACACGACAGACGGCACACTGGTATGGTTTGTTGGAGATGTAAGGTCGAGCCAGGAAAGGGGTTGATTCACTGTCTTTCAACGTCCCGGTTCTCATCCTCTGAATATGGGTGGTTGAATTATAATGAACACTCAAAGCCGTTCTAGTGGGAAATGACTCCAAACACGCATTACACTTGAATGGACGGTTGTCACCTTCAGAGGCTACACTGTTTTTACAGACAGATCTGCCATTGCTGACAGAAGCCTCTGATGTTTTTATAGTTGGCTCTGTATTGTCCTGATCGGACTCCAGCCCCCCTGCATCACTTTCCTCATTTCTCCCTCCCTCCATCTCTTCATCCAGCTCTTTTTCCTGAGAAGAACCACCCTTGTCACCTGCATCTGTAGATTCACCCTCATTTTGGAAAGCCATTGAGGGGGATTTTATGTTCTCTAAATGTTTCAGCTGAGATGTGTCATCTGATGAATTAAATACAAATTCAGTATTAGTAAGCCTTTAAAAAAGTCCAAAATAAGTTTTGCAACACTAAACAATTGGCTAATATTATGCAGAATATGTAAGACAGGTCTTGGACAATTTCACAAATTTTCCACTAATTGTTTGATATTTTTTTGTAAAAAAAGAAAGAAAAAAAAGTGTTTATCAAAAATACTTAATACATTAAGTATTGTAATGTATAAGTATATGAATCCATAAATTAAAAATAATAATTTTTTGGATTTTGCAATATCATATCGTAGGTAAATAATAAACCATGCACGTTATTATAGAACATGCTTAAAACACAACACTCAGTTTATACAGTATGTAACAGGGGTCCCTGGTCCATCCCTGACACTAGAAAGCTTGTGAAACCCCTGATATCCAACATGAAAACAAATGCTGGACATCAGGTTTTCAAGATTTAAAAGCAGAACATTTAAATAAAAATCTGTTTCAATCATCACGTCCAGCAGTCAGCACAAAAACTGAATACTTGTGGGGTGCAACCTACAGGTGCTTCATTGCCATGGAAACTACTGAAGCGAGGTGGTCACCAACACAGCCAATTGTGTGTACAGTGGTGCATAACCTAAGCCGGGTATCAATAACACTGGAACCCTGGATCTCAGTGCTGGGATAGTGTTGAACCACTGTGGCACAAAACACAAACACTTGAAAATAACTTTATAGATGATCAAAAGTCACCTGCATCATTTTGGGCTTTGGATTCTTCTTCTTCAGCAATGGAACGGTGCTTAGGAGCAGCCTTATGAAAAGAGGAAACCAATTATTTACTTAAAAAACAAAACACTTCTATAAGCTTGTCATTACTTTTGTCAACAATTCTGTGTTTTTCTGTCAATATGGGGTGCTGTGTGTACATTAATGAGGAAAAAAATTAACTGTGATGATTTTAGCAAATGGCTGCAATATAACAGAGTGAAAAATTTAAGGGGGTCTGAATACTTTCCGTACCCACTGTATATACACAGAGCCTGCACCATCAAAACATACATAATAATATTAAACACTTTTTTTTATGTGCTCTTTGTAAATATACTCACAATATCCAGTAACTTATCAAGGCAAGCAGGGAGGACACTGTGTTTGTCCGTAAGGTGATGAGAGAGATTCTCACGGTCTGGTTGACTTTCCTGACATAGAGGGCATAACCACATTGACCCCCTGTTATTGGCACCTCCCAGAGTTTCTCCAGGCTCCTCCTGAAACCAAAGGCACAATATTATATGTAATGGTATTTAATCATATCTAAATAAGGCAAATATTTCTTTACTCATTCATTTTCAGAATTCTTTTTAAGAAATCTGATTATATTTTACAGTATTTTTGTTTAAAGTACCCTCAAGCTGCATACTGTGTATTTGAATTGGTCCTTTTTTTAACACGTCAGTGATCTGAAAGAAATCTGATATCAACAAATACATGAAATAAATGCTGCACTTCAAAAAGCTAAAGTCTTAATGGGCTAGTTCACCTTACAATTAAATTCTGTCATCATTTACTCACCCTCAAGTCATTCATAACCTGTATGACTATCTTTGCAGAATACAAAACAAGATGTTTTGTAGAACATCAGTGCCCAAACAACATTGGAACCCACTGAGACATTTTTTTTTAAATCTTTATTTATTTATTTATTTTAATCATTTTTATGTTTCCGAGAAGAAATAAAAAGTCATACAAGTTTGCAATTTCAGAATTCTTTTTAAGAAATCTGATTATATTTTACAGTATTTTTGTTTAAAGTACCCTCAAGCTGCATACTGTGTATTTGAATTGGTCCTTTTTTTAACACGTCAGTGATCTGAAAGAAATCTGATATCAACAAATACATGAAATAAATGCTGCACTTCAAAAAGCTAAAGTCTTAATGGGCTAGTTCACCTTACAATTAAATTCTGTCATCATTTACTCACCCTCAAGTCATTCATAACCTGTATGACTATCTTTGCAGAATACAAAACAAGATGTTTTGTAGAACATCAGTGCCCAAACAACATTGGAACCCACTGAGACATATTTTTTTAAATCTTTATTTATTTTAATCATTTTTATGTTTCCGAGAAGAAATAAAAAGTCATACAAGTTTGCAACGACAATCATTTTTGGGTGAATTAGCACTTTCTTAAACATAAAAAGGATTACAGTAAATAAAAACTGGACATACTTTATAGACAGCATCTAATGCAATAGAATTCTTTCTGACAGTGCACGTCTAATGTACAATCAGCACTAAATAGTTCTTCAGATTAAATAAGCTCAATCAACAAAACGTATACTTTAACAAATGCAACAGTTGTCTCATTAATTAGATTAATTGGCTTTGATGTAAGCTAACACTTACAAATCAAAACAAAACCACTATGCATGATAATGTTAGGACATATCACCATATATCAAACCACCCCTTTCATCTATTTAGAGCACCTTTACAATAAGGTCTGACATTTTGACTTATTTATATAGGCCATACAATCTGTGCTATGCACTTATAACAATACATCAAATTGATTTCACAGATGCAGTTATGTTCTTTTTGCTAGACACAACGTAAATCTGTACAACCAATACCTTGCGGCTTGTTTATAATTCATGCATCTGAATGTACATCACTTCATATGAGGCATCCTATGTTAATCAGATCTGATAACACCCAGAATTATGCATACATTTATCACTTCTGCAATAACTAGGCTATTTAACGTCAGAGGAGGCCTAAATGTTGACCTTGACTGGTCGTATAATATGCTGATGTGGATCTGTCAACGTGTTGCCCCTTGTGAATAAGGTGACATGGACTGTAAATAACAGATAATGGGTGCAAATCCCCTGGCAGTAATGTCTCTTTAAAACAATAACCCAAATAAATAAATAAATAACATACATTCAGAACAGAGACATAAACATCTTAATTGACATCGAAACGACTTCATTTAACGTATGCATGCAAAATCATTTAAATTATACAGTTTCTGGCTTCGTTTTTACATGCCACTGTCAGGGAACGACCAGACATCAAATGCCAACAGTGCTACAATGCCACGCCAATTAGCTTCCCTGCTAGACTGAAAACATGCACTGAATCCTCAACACAAGTACTATTAACTTCTCCTAAAAGTCAAAGACAGACGAACCCACACGCCGCGGGACACTACCGTTCGACAGCGAGCTCATATGGCCGCCATAGCTCTTGATGATTTCGTTAATTAACCCACAGCCTAATTAGCAAGACCCGTGTGCTGTTGAATCAATCGGAAACGGAGAGCTTTAGCCTGCCTCGCTAACACACACACACACTCCAGTGTAATCATGATAAATACTCCATTAAAGTGCATCGCACTGCAGTCTGCTGTCCTAATTACCCCCTTTTCCAACTTTAATCGCTGCAAAGCGACTGATTTTTGTGATTTCTTACTTGAAGGGTGATGTTAAAACAAAAGAAGCCGTTTTCTCATAAACATTCGTGGCACTTCACATGGCTAACGTAGCTAACAACACACTCAACAAATTGGTCAACTAATTATATATCGCACATCAAAACGCAAATCGCCCACAAACTTCTCAAAGACGCAGAATTAGAGCAGCGAGAATAAATTAAAAGCTAAAACAATCGCAACGCTCAAGATGCTACAGCACAAGTCTGCTTTAACGCACTAATTGAACGGTGTAAATAGGCTTTCGACTCTCAGATGTAAAACCTCGGGCTTGATTAGTTCCTCGCCCCCCTGATTGTGGCCTGTTTGTCGGGCATTGAGACATTCCCCGCCCGCCGTCTGCTCCACAGCGGAAATTGCGGCCTACTTCGACTAAGCGATTTAATTAATGAATTTGGGTTGCTTCACACAGATGTGTTAAAAACAACCCGTTTGCCGTCCCCCTTCAGCGTTTATCTAACCCAATACCTTGCAGTTGGAGGTCTAAGTTCGCCGTTTAGTATATAATGTTGTTATTGAGCATCATAAGTGTGTTTTAATAATTGCAGAACGCAGTAATTAACGCTGGATGAGGCGCATTGCTGCTCGAAAAGCGACGTGCGACGTGCAACACAACGAGCAGCGAAAGGGGGTGGCGGGGCCAAAATGAGAGACCGAGGCAGAAAAGTTGGGCTTTTAACACTCGAATTGTAACTAAATATTCGCAGTGAAATGGCATGCATCTAATTATTAGTCGTGCTCGGGACGCGATGAGATCCGCATCGCCCCCTCGATCGCAACTTCTTGAACAATTCGGCGTCAACATCGTTTAATTAACACTAAAGCAATTAGCTAAGGCTTTTACCTGCATGGTTGGGACTCCAGCACACGCTTCCTCTCGCTCTTTAAAACTGAAAAGTTTTCTCTCTCTCTCTCTCCCTCACTCACTCACTCACTCACTCACTCCGTCAGTCCTCCCACCCTCTCTCTCTCTCCCCCTCTCTCTCTCTCTCTCTCCCTCTCTCTCTCTCTCGCATTGCTCTCCTCTAGTAAACACACGACAGCTCCCCCAAAAGCTGAGTGCTCGCTCTCTCCAAGAATGTTCCTCTTCCCTCTAACGGTTTATTAAATGATTCAACACACCTAAAAAAGCATGTTGGAACAATGTTGTTATACTGAAATTAATTCAGTTATTTACACTCTATTTTCGATTTTCGCACCCTCTCTCTCTCTCCCCCTCTCCCTCTCTCTCTCTCTCTCTCTCTCTCTCGCATTGCTCTCCTCTAGTAAACACACGACAGCTCCCCCAAAAGCTGAGTGCTCGCTCTCTCCAAGAATGTTCCTCTTCCCTCTAACGGTTTATTAAATGATTCAACACACCTAAAAAAGCATGTTGGAACAATGTTGTTATACTGAAATTAATTCAGTTATTTACACTCTATTTTCGATTTTCGTCTTTAAGGCTGAAGAGGCGAAGTATTTAAAAAAAACACTTGCCAAAACAGAAATGTTTAAATGTAGGTGATTGTAAGATATACATAATAAATAAATATTTTTATTTATTTATTTAGGCCTGTTTTGTTATTATTAATGCTGTGTTAATTGTTATATGCTATCTAATAACCAAATAAAATAGTTCTAAGCGAATAAATGTAATCTAATATTTAAAATGAAAATGCAGTCTGGTCTGATCTGCAATGCTGATCAAACTGATTGCACACAGACTTGTTTATTTAAATAAAAATACAAAAATCGTTAAGCAACTTTGATATTTAGCCACATTAATACAGAAATAAATGCTAAAGTCCTTTTAGTGTATGAATATTATGCTATGACTCGAACACATACTCTGCATATCATTTATATTTTTGTTAAGTAATTTCTTAATATTCTGTAGGCTATATTAGGCTAATGTTTTATCTATCCATCTATCCATCCATCCATCCATATTTACATTTGCATTTACATTTATTCATTTAGCAGGCACTTTTACCCAAAGAAACTTACAAATTAATTAAGATGTTCACCAGTAAACTGAAGCGCTCTTTTAACTTAACCAAAGGTATTCTATACGAGATAAATCAGATATACATCAAATAAACACAATAATTCAACATACAATTGCACAAAAGGCTGCAAACGAACAGCGCGCATCTGAAGTGTCTCTGAAGGAAATAATGCATTATTTATCGGCTTTAAGATATCGGCAACATTTTCTTATTGGGCCGATACCGATAACAGAAAAAATGAGCATTTATCGGCCGATACCGATATGGTGGCCGATATATCGTGCATCCCTAGTTTTTTTGTTGTTGTAATGTGGTGTTTGGGTTTTGTTTCATATTCATGTTTTCATGTCTTTTATTTTGTATTGTTTCATGGTCCCTGTTTGTGTCATGCTTCCCTTGCCCTCATGTATTCATGCCATTGGTTCCCCTGTTCATTGTGTCATGTTCTGATTGGTTGTCTTAGTCATGTGTCTTGTTTCCCATTGGTTTGTTCTTGTCATGTGACCCTCTTGTTTCCTATAAGTAGCTTCATGTTCCCATTGTGCCCTCGTCGTGTATTGAATGTATTTAACCTGCTGTTGGTGAGTCTAGTCTGTTTATGTCAAGTCTGTGTTTCTTGTTTGGATATCACCTGTAAATAAACTGCACTTGGGTTCTCACTTACGCTCGCCTTCAGTGGATGATTCGTTACAGTTGTTTTTTTACACCCTCAGATTCCAGATTTTCAAATTGTTGTATTTCAGCCAAATATTGTCCTATTCTAACAAACCATACATCAAAGCTTATTTATTCAGCTTTCAGATGATGTATAAATCACAATTTCAAAAAACTGACCCTTTTGACTGTTTTTGTGGTACAGGGTCACAGATGTCTAAAACACTTTGGCATCTATTGTTTAATAATAACCCTTTAGAATTACATCAAAATAAAAACCTCTTTTCACTTAATAATATATGCTGTATTTATCTTGTTTGTCTCCACAGGTTTAAGCTGTGAGAAGAAAGTAAAGGGGAAAATGGATGTTTACCTTC